TGTCATTGCTGGCAGACTTGTCTTTTTTTTTTTTTTTAAGGAGAGTTGGCAGGGCTGTTTTGCCTCAAGAGAGAAAGCCAAAGAGCTCTGTGGCCGAATGGGTAGCTCTTTTATTGCTAGAAACCTGGCACAGGCTGTAGCTGGGAGAAGGAAGAATTTTTTGTTTTTAATTAGCTGGTAAGCAAACACCATAGCTGGACAGTGGGTCTCTCTTTCTATTGGACAGTGATTAGGTGCAGTGCTGACAGACAAGTCCATTTTTTGTTTTTGTTTTTTTAAAGTGGAAACAGTCAAGGCCCTAGCAACAGACTAATGATTTCCTAAGATCAATAGTTCTGAGTGAGAATTCAGCAGAAATCCTATATAGTATGTGATCACATAGATTATGAAGGATTTTATGGAGTTACTTAGGAAACAAACCACAGTTTATAGCATGATTCTCATAAGATATTTGCCAAGTTCAAAACAATCAATTATTTTGGATCATAATACATATGGGTCTGTCACTTGCTTTTAAAAGAGGCAAGCTTTCTTCTAAAATCATTACAGTGGTGAATTTCAATTTTCACCTTTTTCTAAATTCACTACACTGAATGAGAGTCTAAAGATGTGTCTTAATTATAATGACAGCACTACACTTCTTATAAAATGGAAAACATTTTAGCAATGGTTGATTAATCCATGTGTCTCTGTTACAGCACAAGGGTGGATCCTCTTAATCGACTTATTTGTATACCAGGAGACTGTCTCTATCTACTAAATGACTTTTTGAAAGAGATCTGCTACTAAGGGAAAAAATGACTTCTCTTCATATAGTCTGAGGACAGTGGATCTGGAAAACTGCTAACCTAAACTTTTCCCAGTAGAACCTGGTACAAAACTGACATACAACCTAAATCCAAAATGAAATCCTTTATTCTACTTACATATAATTAAAATTATCCAGTTATTTTAACTAATTTGTGCATTCACGTAACACTTTTTTTGATATTGGAATGTCTGATGAACATTTGACTTTTAAATCTGCCACAATGAAACTGACCTTGGCTTGTGAAATTGATATAGTTACTGTCAAGGATGTCCCTGAAAATTTTCTTTCACGATGAAGAAAGAATGCAGAGGAGCAAAATACTCTTTAATCTGGATCTATTGAATTCCATTTTAGAGTGTATCCAATACTGTGCTTTGAAAAGGTTAAATACAGAAGAGTAGTATAAGAATGTGACTTAGAAAGTCTCCTGCAATTTTTGAAAATTTCATTCCTATCTTGAAGGGTCACAGATAAACTGCTGATAATCACTGAGCAAGGTTAGTATCAATTGCGCAAAGCATATGCCTTTCTGAAAATGTTTCTTCATTGAACAAAAACTTAATTTTTCTAACCAAAGTTTCTAATAAGAATTCTATATTTCAATGAGGTAGTCATATTTTTAGTAAACTGTTTCAACATTAAGTTGAATAAATATTGTTGCTAGTTTTTCTTTCAAATATATTTTTCTGAATACCATTTAAGATTCGTTCAGTGCAGGAATATTCAGTGCACTAATTAACTATTTACTACACTAATCACTTAGTCTTGTGTAAATAGTAAATAAACTTATCCTCATGCCCTTTTCAAAGAAAGTATTTTCCCCTTGTAAGATCAAATTTAGTCAAAGTAATCTTTCCTGAAATTTTTTTGGGTGATTTTCTTACATTCTAGAGATCCCCCAAAATGAAAAATAATAATAATAATACAAAAAAAACCTGTTAACATTAGACACAGTATTATTTTTCCTCTATTCCCCAAACTATTCCTAGCCTTACCTGCATGTGATAGACCCACCATAGTGTTATTCCCTGTGGTTTGGAGGTAATGGTAAACCCCTAGAAGGAAGCCCTTCATGGGGTAATGGCTCTGAACTTGGGGTTCAGACCCTTCTATGAGAGGAACAGTGAAGGCAGAGCCCCAAATAACTGATGCAGACAGAACAATATCATGTGAGAAGAGCTATGATGTACCTATGAAAGGGGCTTCGAATGTTCTAGTGGAGGCAGCAAAGCCTGGCTGTGTAGGCTGGGCTCACGAGGAGTGGTTAAGAGGACAGGCTCTCAGACAAAGCTATGTTTGATTATTACCTCTAAAACTGTCCATGTGGACTGGGACGAGTTTCTTCACCTCTCTAAGCCTCAGTTTCAGGTAATTTATTTACCTTACTGGATTAGAGAAAATGGAATAATTCATGTGAAGAACAAAGGAAGAACTGAGTATGAGACTCAAATCAGTGTTTTTGCTGCGTCTGTCCTTGTCTGCTCTCCTTCCAGGTTACAGATCCGATCTGAGCAACCTGGGGCTTCAGTTATGCCTGGCCGGCTCCTTCCTTCACCCCTGCTCTTGTCTGTACAACCAGCCTTGAGTCTCTGCTTGCCCTCTCTCATTCTCTAAGGGTTAGTGTGTTCTTAATTTTTAAATAAGTTCTTCTTTACTTAGCAATAAAATACTTTTTTAACCCCAAACTGGAAAAGAGGGTAGATTTTGCTGTTTTAGGTGGGATTTGGGGATGACATGGTGTTACTAATTCCCCTTACAGTTCAGCCTGCAGTTTATAAATGAAGAAACTCAGGTTGTAAATTTAAAAATTTGAAAAGCAATAATGTTTGGAATTTTAATTATAATATCTGACCATCATCAATGCCTGAGCCTTAAAGTAAAATCAAGATCAAATTTCTAGATCAAAAAGAGTAGGTCTTCTCAAGGAAACGGAGGCAAACCCTCTGATTTCCTTCTAACTAAACAGTCTATCCACTGAGTAAGCTGACAGGTCATAAAAAGATTTGGAGATAATTATACAATGAGGAAATATAAGAATAGCTAGCTATAGAGTATACTGGCAACTGTTACAGGGCTAAAACCAACTTTGTCATTCAGTTGCTACCTGGAAATATAACCACTTATATAAAACCCAATAAATAAAAATAAAGCAAAAAACTAACAAACCCATAACATATACTTCTCATATTACTACTAAATGGTAAGTTTCTTGATGTCTTTCTTTTAAGTGTACATATTACTTCCAAAGCAATTTTTTCCGGTACTTATCTAATATTGGCATGTGCACTATGCCAGGCACTGGGTATACAAAGATAAACACATCTTTGCCTTGAAGATGTCCACAGTTTCAAGGACAGAGCAGTCACTGACCAGCAGTAATAATACAGTGTAGATGAGAGAGGTGCTGAGAAAGAGCAGGGAGGGTTTTGTATTCATTTAAACTCCATAACCTTCCACAAAAGTTCCGTTGAAGCAGGGATGAATACATCTTGGTGGGAGGAGAACATGCAAGGAAGCAGATTGAACTGGATGAATTGGTTTTTAACAAGTGGCAAAAAACAGGGTATTCCAGGCACATTGAGCAGCCCAGAAAGGAGAAAGGCTGGAAAATGTATGGCTTATGGGAAGATGATAAGGTGGGAGTAGAGGATGATGCCTGGTAGAAATAGTAAGAAAAAGCTGAAGGGCCTGTATGCCACTGGGGCCAGATGATTTAATGCCGTGCTAGTTGTGATGAATAAAACTGTCTCAGTCACTTCAAACAAATTATCATAGACTGGGTAGCCTAAATAATACTTGTTTCCCACAGTTGTAGAGGCTGGAATCCAAGATCATGGTGTAAATACGGTTGGCCTCTGGTGAGAATCCTCTTTCTGGTTGCAGACAGCTGGCTTCTCATTGCATCCTCACATGACTGAAAAAGAGAGAGCTGGTCTCTTACTCTTCTTATAAGGGCATTAATCCCATTCTTGATGTCTCTAATCTCATGACCTAATTCGCAAATGCTTCACCTCCAATAGCATCACACTGGGGACTAGGGCTTAAACACATGAATTTTAGGGGCAGTCCATGACAAACTCTGAGATTTCAAGTGGGTGGTGGTTTTTTCTTTTCCTTTGTAAGTTCCTTTCAGACTACATTCCTAGTAAGGGTCAGGGGAGTAATTTCTTCTTTTCTATGTCATCCCTACAACGGTGCCTGGCAAAGATAGCTCCTCCCTGTACTGCTTAGTTTTAACTTTAACAAAGATCAATGGCTACCATTATCTGAATTTTTACCTCTCAGGTAACTTTTACTGATCTAGGAACAGAGTAAAAGGCACTGGAGGGCAGGCAGAGGAGCAGGCAGACAGGAAAAGTACAGCTACTTTATCATACCTGAATTGAAGACCAATCAATACCAGCTGCCACCTTCCTCTTGGAGCAGGGTGGGTAAGGCTTGTTCTTAGGCCACATTCCGTCTTTTTATTGAGGTCCTCTTCTGTGCTGTGTGCTGGGGAAGCAGCAGTGGACAACTCATGTGGTCCTTCTGGAAAAGCTTACATCTAAAGGTGCTTTAAGCCTCTTTTAAGTATTATTGGCGAGACAGTAAAGATAAACACAACTTTGTTAGAATCCTGTTAAAAAAGAAACCTACTTTCACCCTGCATGACAGGTTTACATTATATTGTGTTCTGGTTAAATAAAGCAAATATTAGCATTATATTAAAGTATCTTTGCAAACCATAAGAAAATGGGGATGAAAGTGGTTCTTAGGAGTACTATATTAGGTTCAGATCTTAGAGGTTAAATATTAGTCTGTCTCCCAAAATAGAGTTTTAATAAAATGACTGTATCTAGGCTTATTCTTGAATGTATTTTGCTTAAAACTCAAGACATCCTAGTTTTAAGGATCCTGTTGAATTCTCATTACTAAATAGTATTGTAATGGTTGTAAATGAGCCTTCTGATCTCTTTAAAGCTGGAGTTTTTTGATAAATAGGAGTGACCCGTTTTTAATTCCACTCAGTACATTGGTAGTAGAGAATTTAGGAATCGAGACTAAATTCTCTGCAAGCCTTAAGTTCAACGTAAGGGCAAAACAGAAGTGAGTGTACAGTTTTAAAGAGCGTATCTGACGGAATCTTTTTTTTCACCATACAAACCATAGAAAGCAAAATGGGTAAAATCTCAAGTATTACGCATCCAAGAAGACAGCTTTTCACCAAAAGGAAACTCATAATGGTGCGGGGACGAAGAGGTTGGGGATTTTGTTCGTTAAAAGATTAAGTGATTTACAGAGAAGTTTGGAAAACGTGGCTGTGGATGTGATTACTAATTAGAGTAAGACTGTTACACGAAGCAAGGCTTAAGGCTGCGCCTAAGGGAGCGAAAGGGTGTAAGGCGGCGGAGCGGGGCAAGGTCGGCGAGGAAGGCCCCGAGCCAGGGCGCGGGGGCGCCGGGCCGAGCGGAGGCGACGTGCGGACAAACACGCCCGGTGCGGGCCGAGGCGCGCGGCGGAGCGCAGGTCTCCCCTGTAAAAGGTGCGCCGGCGCCCGCCCCGGGTGAGCAGAACGCCCCGCGGAGGGAGCCGCGGAGCGGGCGGCCGCGGGCTCCGCCCCCAGCGGCTCTGCCATCTGGGTCAGGACGAGGCGGCCGCGGTGCCGGACCTCAGGACCCGCCGGCTCGGGGACCACTGCCGCCCGCCGCTTCCCTTGCGCTTGCCTCGCCCGCAGGTCCCCGGTCCCCAGCCACGAACTACAGGGAAACCACTGCGAGCACAGGTGCGGGCCCGGGAGGGCGGTGGGCGGGAGGCCCGCAGGGTGGAACGCGGCCGGGCTGGAGGGGGCTGAGGCGGTGCTTCCGGCCGCGGCCACCGCACTTCCGGGTCTCCCGGGCTTCTGCGGGGAGGCCACATAGCTGCAGGCGCCTTCCCGCCGCCCGGCGTTGCTGTGCGTTACACCAGCCCAGAGAGACGTGCAGCGGCTTCTCCCGGTGCCACCGTCTCCGAGCCGGCGCCTCAGAAGCTCCCACCGGCGGTCGCCAGCATTTGCGCGCCGGCAGCCCGTCGTGGTGTGCGTGGGGACCTGACAGTGGGCCGCCTCCGCCCGGCCGGTCCCTGCAGATGCAGAGGAATTTCTGTCGGACACACACGATCGCCTCTTCCTCGGCTCCCTGGGTCTTTCTACCGTTCAGCCTCCAGCAAACACTTTTCTTTTGTTTTGCACGAACTCGTATTGCCACCTATTTTACCCAAAACGAAGGACAGATTTTCAGTGCGACAAACATTTGCAAATAAGCAAAACATCAGGGAGACCTAAATTATAAAACTTATAAAATAGGAAAAACAGTGAAAACCTGATTAAATAAGAGTAGAAAAATTCACTTAGAAAGTGTCAGCCAGGTCTCTGTAGGCAATCTGATCACAAATTCAGGGTCTCAAAGTGATTGCTTAGGCAGGCAAACCTCAGGCTTGTCTGTAAGCCCTGATGTGTTCTTTACCCTTCTTGCAAAGTTTTGCACACATTCCTCGAGTTTTTCAAAATTAATATTTTATGTTTTTCCCTAGGAATCTAGAGATTCCTAGAGAATCGGGGCAGCAATGAACTTGAGAAGGCAAAGGGGATGGATGATTTTTAGCGCACAAGTATGGCAGTTGACCTTTGATGGCAACTCAACCATTCACTCACAGTAATGAAAGAAAAGGCAGATGATGTGAGCAGATTCGGGAAGGTGGGTAGATGCCATGGTGGGAGTTTATGAAAGTTCTCTTTGATTGCCTCATTGTTTTATGTGAAACAAGAAACAAAACAGCTGAAGTGAGAATGGGGGAGGGAGGATTGGAGAGATACAAATTGAGAATTCAGTTATACCTTCCCCTGGTTTATATCCTGTGATCCCACATGCAGAGCACACGCTAAATGCCCAACTAAATATGATGTCTCAAATGATACTCTATGGAAGAGAAAGAATAAGGAGCAAGAATCTATTTCCAAGAAGTCTAAGAGAATGTCTGTCTTTAATTCCTGATTAATACACTAGACTATATGCATTGAACATCCTGTTTGGATGCCCTGTTTCATTACAGGTCTAAGTGTAAAAGGGTAGGATTAATGGTTTTAAAATAATAATCTTCCAGAAATTGCCTCAGGGGTTGCTGAATATTACATACAAAAGAATTAGGAATCCTTCTCAAGCTCATTGCTACAGCAATTCTCTAAACTTTGTTTTTTAACTTCATTAATTTATCTTCCTTTTATGAAAACTTGGATCTTTTCCATTGATAAACAGAAATACTGTTATTTCTTTGATATTTTTCACACCGTTTTCCTATATAGCCATGATATTTCTTTCTTCCTTACCTGTTTTCTATTTGCCCATATATTCTTTTTCCTCTTCCCTTACTTCTTTTGGACTAACTGAATATCTTTAATATTCCATTGTTATCTCCACTATTGGCTTATTTTTATGCCTTTGTGGAGGTTTCATTGTTGTTGTTATTTGTTTTTTTAGTGGTCACCCTTGGGTTTATAACAATACATTTTTAATTTTATTAAATTATAATCTAAGAGCGCTGCATTATAATCTAAGAGTCCTACAACACTTTATTTGTCCCTTCCTATCCTTTCAGCTGTTGTTGCCCTAATTTTTTACTTCTGTATATTATAAATCCCATGATATGTTATTATCATTTTTGCTGTAATAAGCAAGTCTTTTATTTAAAAAATCTTGAAATGAGAAAAATGACCTTTATATTTACCCACATATTTGGTGCTCTTCCTGTGTGTAGATTCCAGGTTTCTCTGTCATCATTGTCCTTCTGCGTGATGAACCTCTGTTAGCACTTCTTGCAGTGCATGTCTGCTGGCAATGAATTCTCTCAACTTTTCTTTGTCTGAAAAAGTCTTTATTTTATGCTCATTTTTGAGAAATATTTCACTGGTTGTAAAAATTGAAGTTGACAGTTCTTTTCAACACTTGAAAGATGTCATTCCATTGTTATCTTGTTTGAATAGTTAATATCTGCTGAAATCTGATCTATTCTCTATACTTAATATGTCTTTTTTTCTGATGGCTACTTTTAAGATTTCTTTATCACTTTTTTTTTTTTTTTAGCATTTTGATAATGTACCTTGGTTTACTTTTCTTTACTTATTTGGCTGGGATTATGTTTACCTTCTTGGATCTCTGGGTTTATAGGTTTTTGTCCAATTTGGAAAATTTTTTGGCCATTTTTCCCTCAAGTACTTTTTGCCCCACCCCTCCCCCACCCCTCACTTCCCTATAACTTTATGTATGTTTTAGATAGTTTGATCTTGCCGCACAGGCTCTGCTGGTTTTTTGTTTTGGTTGGGTTTTTTAGGGTTTTTTTTTTTTTTTGCCTCATCTGTGTGCTTCATTTTGTATGGTGTCTTAGTCCATTTGTGCTGCTATAACAAAATGCCATAGACTGGGTAGCTTATAAAAGCAGAAATTTATTTCCCACAGTTCTGGAGGATGAGAAATCTCAGGTCAAGGTGCCAGCAGAGTCATCAGTGTCTTGTGAGGGTCTGCTTCTGGGTCATAGCACCTTCTCCCTGTAACCTTACATGGTGGAAAGGCCTTCTGGGGTCACTTTTATAAGGGTACTCATCCCGTTTATGAGGGCTCCACCTCCTAATACCATCACCTTGGGATTCGGATTTCAACATATGAATTTGAAGGGAGGGACCACAAGCATTTAGTCTGTAGCAGATGGTTTTTACTGCTGTGTCTTCACGTTTGCTGACTTCCGCCCAACACACACACACACACACACACACACACACTATTTTCTGCTGTTGATCTCATTCAGTGAAATTTTATTTCAAATATTTTTCATTTCTCGGAGTTCCATTTGGATCTGCTTAATCCTTCTATTTCTCTTATCATGGTCATATTTTCCTTTAATTTTTTAAATAGTGAACATATTTGTGATAGTACTTTAACATCCTTGTCTGTTAATTATGTAATCTGTCATTTTCCTGTTTCATTTCATATCTAGTAATTTTTTATTTTATGTTGTTGAGTTCTGGATTTTTTTTTTATACTCCTTTGAAGAGCATTGGACCTTCTCTTGAAGACAGTTAAATTAATTGTGAATCGATCTGATTCTTTGGAGACTCATTTTAGGGCAAGTCTAAATAGCTTTAACTCTTGGACTAATTTAGCCCCATTACCAAGGCGTTGTCCTTCTGAGATCTCTACTGTAAGCCCCAAGTATTTCGTAAATGCTCTCCATTATGGCTGGTGGGAACTTGAATATTCCCCAGCTCTGTGCAGCTTTAGACATAGCTCAGTTTATAGCTCCCTGGTAATTACTCTTTTCCTGAAACTATTCTCTTTCTGGCCTGATGGAGTTTCATACCGTGTATGTGAAGACTGGTATTCAATTAAAGATTCAAGGAGATCCCTATGCATATTTGTGGAGTGCTTTCTCTGCACACCTTCCTCATCTTCAGTGCTACGCTGCACAGCCGAGGTGCTTCAGTTTCCCTCAACACTGACCTCTGTCCCGCTCAGTGAGACTCCCAGCTCTATTTGATCTTCCCCTCCCTGTGCCACAGTCCAGAAATTGCCTCCAACTGGAAAGATCACAGACTTACTTCATTTGTTTCCTTTATCTTGGGGATAATAGGTGGCAGTGCTGTAATAATCTGCTTTCTGAGAAAGTGTAAGGAAAAAAATACCAAAAAATTAGCAAATTTAATTTCCTGTAACTGAAAGTTTACCATTATTTGTAACATTTCTCCCAAGTTTCAAACCAAATTTAATACATATGTTTTCCTTTTTACAAAATAGGAGAAAATTAATGGGAAAATAATTTGGGGACTTCAAAGTCTATAAAAAGCCTTACAATATTTTACTCTAATTACAAAAGTTTATCATATTACTCATTGACATTTTAAAGTCTCGAAGGAAAGGGGCTTTATATTATTGGTTTCCTTCAATGGTCTTCTGATTTTAAGATCAGAATAAGCAATAAAACTAGTTAGTGAAAATAGGATATACTAAAGAAAGATCATGATATCTTGCATCAAAGTTGCTGAGTTTATGTGGAATTAAGTGGGCCAAAGCTTGGGCCTTGGATACGAAATGGTGAAAGTTTAGAAAGCTAAAGGAAACAAAGAAATGACATTTTCGTTATTTTTTGAAAAGGCAAAATTTGACAGAAAATAAAGACATTCAGATCTCTGAGAGAAATAGAAATGTAAGGAGCAGAGAAGTTCTGGGTCTGAAGATGAAAGGAGATAAAGCCAGCACATATGTTAGCATCTCTGCTTTCTGTGTTGACTAAAACAGAGATAGGGTGGGTTACAAATCTGCCAAAGCTCTCTAATGTATTTTATATCCCAAATCCCCGAGCTTTTAAAATGTTGTCACTTTAAATTTAAGTACAAGGTGCTAAGAAACAGCTTCTTGGCCTTTCTTAAAGATTAGGTAAGATTCATAAATCAGCACACTACTTAGTTTTATACGATAAAAGTTCCAGACACAGCCAAGCATAATTTGAATTTGCAAAAAGTATTTTTTTCAGAAATTAATGATGATTCTTTTACCTCTATTACATCCTTTAAAATATATGGTAAAGCATAAATTTCAGATCAGTATAGAATACAAGTTTTAAATTAAAGCTGATACTTTACACTGGACTTCAGTGATATCCTTAAAGCAGAAATTTCCATTGGGCCACATATGTTATAGAGGTAGTTATTACTCTGGGCGTATTTTAGTTTATGATTCATCAGGATTTTTTTGTTTGTTTTGATAATGTAAACATAGTTTTGTTGATTGAGAAAGCTCTGAAATTTTTGTCTTAGGCAAAGACAAGAACAACTTTCATTGATATCTATGCTTTTAATTTTAGTAACAAAAAACAAGAAATGCCTCATTCCACCAACAAAGAGCTGATCCTTGGCATCATGGTGGGAACTACTGGAATCAGCTTGCTGCTTCTGTGGTACCACAAGGTTCGCAAACCAAGGACAGCAATGAATTTACCTAAGTTTCTTTCTCTGGGTAATACATTTGATTCGATGACTTTGCAAGATGAACATGGCCAAGGAACAGCAGCCATCTTTCAAGAAAGGCAACTTCAGATATTGGAGAAGTTAAATGAATTACTGACAAATATGGAAGAACTCAAAAAGGAGATCAGAGTTCTTAAAGAGGCCATCCCAAAGCTGGAGGAATATATCCAAGGCGAACTTGGAGGAAAGGTAACTGTCCATAAGATAAGTCCTCAGCACAGAGCTAGAAAAAGAAGACTTGCCATGGCTCAAAATTCAGCAACAAGTAATAGTTCAGAGGAAGCAGAAAGTGAAGGAGGGTAAGTTTCTTTAAGGTTTTGCCATGTCAAATTGATTATTTATTGCCTTGTTGCTGTCTTTTAAGTGCTTTCATTATGCATTTCTAGTCATATATTCTGCTACTAACAAGACATAAAAGGAGTGATTATTTTAGCTTACATTATAAGTCAGTAGTGGTATGTAAGAATTAGTACTAGGTGACATGATGCGAGTATTAAGCAAGCCAGTAATTGTTTGCCAAAATGTGTAACCTATTTTTTTATGTGTGGCCCATGTCACATATTATATAAGAATTGTCCAATAAGTGCTGTCCAACAGACCTTTCCACAATGATGGAAGTGTGGTCTATGTTGCTCAATATGGTAGCCATTAGCCACCACATTAAGCACTTGAAATGTAACTAGTGCAACTGAGAAACTGAATTTTAATTTTATTTAATTGTAATTAATTTAAGTTTAAATAGCCACATGAGACTAGTGGCTACTTGATTGGACAGTGCAGACATAGAAAGATTTGCGAATGTATAAGTGATTCAGCATCATCCTTGCCTGGGGTAATTCATTGAATTCTAAAACCAAATACATAAATAATATTCTTGTAGAAGAAAAACAAATGATTTATTAATGAAGAAATTATGCCTAGCTAGTGTTTTTGAGGAGCAAAATAGACTTGTTCAAGAAATTCTAGAAAAAGAAGCAACCTTTGATAAATTGAAGACAAGTAAAAAGAAGATAAATTGTAGGACTTAATTAACTTCAAGTAATGTTATTGGCATAAATTTTTTATGTGGATTCAAGAAGGGTTTGTGGAATTTATGAGTAACAGTCACAGAGGACTAACAGGAAAAATTAGACATATCAAAACTTTGATGTCAAGACATTCCCTCCTCTTGCTTGATCCTGGGTATCTTTGTTAGCAATAGAATACTAGAATAGACCCTAATGACTAGTCAGAATCACTACTCTCCAAATGATAAGAAATAACAAGTATTGGTAATGATGTGAGAAAAGAAAACCCTCCTGCAGTGTTGGTGGGAATGTCAATTGGTGCAGCCACTGTGGAAAGCAGAATGGAGGTTCCTTAAAATTACTAGAAATAGAATTATCATATGACCCAGTAATTCCACTTCTAGGTATATACCTGAAGAAAACAAAATGTCTGATTTGAAAAGATATCTGCACCCCTATGCTTGTTGCTGTTTTTTAAGTGCTTTCATTATGCATTTCCACATTATTTACAATATCCAAGATACGGAAGCAACCAAAGTGCTCACCAATAGGTGAATAGGTAAAGGTGATATGGCACATATACACAATGGAATATTATTCAGCCATAAAAAGGAAAGAAATCTTGCCATTTGCAACAGCACAGATGGACTAAGCAAAATAAGCCAGACAGAGAAAGACAAAAATTATATGACTTCACTTACATGCGAAATCTAAAAACAAAACAAAAACAAAATATAATAAATGAATAAAACAGAAATAGACTTGTAGACACAGAGAAGGGACTGGTGGTTACAATGGGGGTGGGGGGTGAAATAGATGAAGAGCATAAAGAAGAGCAAGATCTCAATCATGATATAAATTAGCCACAGGATGAATGTACAGCAGAGAGAACATAATAATTTTTTAGTATAATTCTGTGTTGACAGGTAGTAACTACACATTGGGGTGAGCACTTAATAATGTAACTAACTGCCAAATCACTATGTTGTATACTTGAAACCAATATAATATTGTGTATCAACTATACTTCAATAAAATATAATAGTTAAAAAAAAAAAAACATTGCTATACTCCCCTGCCAAAAACAACTGTAGTGACTTGGAGTAGATTACAGTGAGTGACACTTAATAAAGTAGAAGGAAAGAAACTTTATCTGTTTAGTCATACTTCAGAGAAATAAAACAAGCAAACAAACAAACTTAATGTGGATTTTTTTTTTTAGAGAAAGAGGAGTAAGATACAGAAAGGTTTAACACATCTTTCTAAATAAATACCTAGAAACAAACCTTTAAATAAATAAATAATTTCTTAAAACAAGGTCTTTATAAAGTGTATTTGTGTAAATCTTAGATTGCCTGTCCTTTTATAACCTCCCATGAGACATAAATGACTAGTCTTAGTAAGATACAGCCACAACCACAACCCCATTATCACATTTAAGATGCGGTAGACAGTGTCCTTGATAGCAAAATTAAAACATCAAACAACAATTACATGTTCCATATGTCAGATTTCTCTTTTGCAAGAGACACCTAAAAATTTTGACTTTTTACTAAAACAGATGTCAGTCACAATTTACTGATACTATTAGTTTTATACAAGAAAGAAAAAATTCTAAGTTGTCATACACTTGAGTGGGTAGATGAATAGAATGCATTTTCTGTAAACATTATTAGAATCTTCTGCATGCCTCTTTTAGTGTACAGTATCATCATGGACATGTGGATTTATGCCTTTTTTGGACTTGGCTAATTTCATAGTTGTGGAGGTAACAGTGACTGAGGCTCAAATTCTCATAATGTGGCATCAGAGGGTCTTTCAAGGTCCTTTCTTTTCCTTCTTAGCACTTGGGTGAACATCTTAGAAAGTGTCTTTGCTTCTTGGTGATAATCATATTTCAATTGATTCTGTTTTTGTGCCTGCTCCAAGACTTGGAATCTGCTACTGCCTTGGCAGCGTTGGTCCCTTTCAGTGGGAACAGCACCAGACACCCCCCAAAATCAGGGTGTATGGAGTACTGTTTTCAGTTAGGATCATACCAGAAGTCGTTTTGGCCCCTGAGGGACTGGATAAGGAAAAATTGTTTTAAATATTTTTAAGGTCTCTAGTGCACACTGATGTTTGCAATTTAAATTTAAGGACTTCCTTATTGCTGAAAACTTTTTAGTTCACTTTCTTTTTGAAGCTGCTCGCTGCTCTTTTCTCTATCAGCCTTTACCTGTATTGCTCTATGAAACTATGGGTTTAAAAGGTTATTTAAATCACAGTGTTATGTAAAGCTTTAGAAACCTCTCTTTCAGAAGTTACATCTATTCCAGCTTAAAGTAATATCCCATAATAAATTCCTTGTGCTTCTATTTCATGTGAGCTTTAAGAAGAATGCATATGTTTCACATACACGATTCGGTTAGGTAAAGCAGGGTTGCATAGTGATCCTATGAGCCCTCTTTCTTTCTTTTTTTGATGTAAATATTTTCATTTTAGTGTTAAGTCCATATGATACCTTCAAATAGTATCAAGAGACTCAATATTGATGTTCTGAAAAGAGAAAGAAAACTCACAAATCTACCCTAAAAAGAACACCAGCATAAAATAAGCCATAATACCTAATACCTGAGAAGGTACTGCTTTATGAATAATACAGGATGATGACGAAACAAGGTCACAGACAGACATAGGCTTTGGAGGCTTTGTTTAAAACTCCTTAAGCTTTCATTTTCATGAGGCCAAATACAGACTTTGCTTTTTGTTCATTTACATTTTTATTCTTGTTGTTATTTACTTAAGCCAAATCCACTTTAGTGTTGAATTTCACTTTTTCAAGACCTTGAGAAAAAGACAAATTCAGATTATTCATTATGTGGTGATTCTGTATTCTTGCGTGTTGTAGTGTTATGGAAAATACTGGAAAACCTGGACTGGATCACTGAAGGAAGAACCAGGCGGCACTCGGAGGTCTTGGAGTGCTGAGGTTTATTTTACACCAGCGGGCTCAGAGGGGAGTGATCTCCCAAGGTCTGAGCCCTGAGCACAGGCGAGGGGAGCAATTTATATTATTTTGATATGTGGCATTTCGGCTCACGCAGGGCAAAAGAGGAGCCTGGAGGAGGGGAGAGGGGAGCTGGGAGGGCTTTGCCAACTGGAGGAAAAAAGCGGTTTGCTGACCTTGATGGTTGTGTTGAATATTTTCCTTATCAGTAGAAGTACAAGTTGGCAAAAAATTGTCTTTTGGATTTTTTAAAATAAAATATGACACATAAAATTGAAATCTTCTTTATACTCCCCTCTCTCAGAGGTAACCATCATCCTGAAGTTGGTGTAGATTCTTCCTTTGAATGTTTTAATGTTTCTCCTACATGTTCATGTTTACATAAACAATGAATAAATGGTCTTTGGTTCTTATAATTCACATAAATGGCATGATATGGTACCTACCATTTTGTAACATGCTTCTGCATCAAATGCTTTATTGAGATTTTTTCCATATTGATATGTGTCAACTTATTTCATTCTTTTCAGGTGCTGTGCTGCATTCCATCATATGAGTATCCTTACTTTATTTCCCTATTAATGGATATTTAGGTCACCATTTTCTTATTAACAATGCTGTGTTGAATACCTTTCTTTATAATTCCCTATGTACATTTGTAATAATTTGAAAGTATATACTTAGATGTGGATGCCGAGTTACAGGCTAAATATTATTGTGTATTGCTCAGTTATTCTGTGGAGTGTAGCCATCCACAGTCCTATAAGCTGTGTATGAGAAATCTCATTTTTCCATACAAATTATTATACTGTTCGATTTTTCAATTTTAACCAATTTGGTGGAGATTAAGTAGTAACTAATCATTATTTGGACTTGCAGTTCTCTGAACACTTACATGAGTGGTCATCTTTTCATAGCTTATTTGCCATTCAGGTCTTCTTATCTGTGATTTCTTTGAAAATGAGTACAAAAAGGAAGGGTGGCACTAACAGTTGCAGTCCCCTTTATCCATTCAACAAGAGTGTCTGCTCTGTGCTAGGTGCTGTGTAGGCTCTCAAGATACAGCAGGGAACAAAACAACACCTCACAAGTCAAACAGGTTTTTAAAAAACATGTAACAGCATGTTAAAGAGGGATGCCCAGACTCAATTTTAACCAGAGCCCTGAAGACCAAGAACAAAGCAGCAAGTGCCAAGTCCCCTCGCGTCCCTCCTCGCAGGAGGCGGTCGACCCTCCTGGGCGGGACTTGGTAGGAGGTGGAAGCCACTGCCAGCATGAGTGGCCATCTGCCTGTGGCCCATGA